CGCAGTGCTGGTGGTGGAGGCTGGCCTCTGCGTCCAGGGCTGGTAGTAGCAAGGCTGGCCTCTGTGTCCTTGCCTGCCTCCAGGTGGGAGAAAAGGGCACTAAACAGCTTGAGAGGGGGGCCAGCAGGGAACCAGGTGAGGGATGGCTGTAGGTGTGAAATGCTGTGAGGCTGAGGTGAGGCAGAGGCCGCCAGAGCAGGGGGAGGGCTTCCTGGAGGCCAGGCTACTCCTGTCTGAGTGCAGAGAAGCCCTAAAGACTAACGGGAGAATTGCAGGGCCTGTCAGGTGTCGCGGGTGAGAGAAGTGAGGGTCTGGCCCACGGGCTTCTGAGGGACTTCCTGCGTGGAGCAGTCAGAGCCGTGGGGCTCCTCACACCCCCATCCCACCCGGCTCCACGTGTGCTTTAGCTTTAATGACCCGTGTGCTTGACTGGCAGTGGGTCTGGGTCCAGGGGCGGCCAACTCTCCAGCCACTTCCCTAGCGTGTATGGACACCTCCAGGCTAGATGAACCTCAGGTGGGCTCACTGCTTGGCACTCCTTTCGTGTTTTAGCCCAGGGCAAGGCCTTGAGACAGGTGCTAACCCCAACGGCTTTCTTTTTTATTTAAGCCGATAGTGTGTGTGCCCTTGCTGGGGAGAGAGGGTGAGCGAGAGAGACAGGTGGGGGTGGTGGGGGGATGGTGGTGCTGAGAAAGCATCCTGTACGGTGGATAGCCACACTGCAGTCCCTTTTCCTCATTCTCTTCTCAGGATTGTGGGCGTGCACACACACACACACACACACACACACACACGGTGCATTTTTTCTTTCGTTCTTTCTAAGAGCGATTTTTACTATAGGGCATATGCACTCGCCATAGAGACAGAGAAAGAAAGAGAAAAGTCACCCCCAGAGGTGACAGTCCCTTCTGCATTCTCTTTCCGGGATTTGAGGCATGCATGCACATGCACCCAGCGTGAGTTTCAAGCCTCTGGATCTGGGACTCGAACCGCAGTTGACCATGTGGGAGTCCAGTACCTTAACCACTACGCTACATGCTGGCCTCAGTGCATTTTTTTCCAAGCTACTGGGTGCAGGACTCGATCCACGCAGTCAGCCACGTAGGACCTAGCCACCTACATGGCTGACTGCACACTCTTACAGGAAAGGTAGGGTTGAATTCACTTAGTGAACGTAATTGAGAATCGAGGATCATTAAGGTACTTAACCTTGCCTCTCCTAAAATCACAAAGTGGCTAAACTGGGAAGAGAAGCCGGGTGACCGCCGGGTGACCTGAGGCCAGCCCAGTGTTCTTCCTAGGGGTAAGGAGGGCAGGGTGGAGGTTGGTGGACCATGGTGGGGTACACCAAAACCCTTGGCCATGGCTTCGTCTGCCTGTTGTCCCAGGCCTAGTTCTCTTCAGGTCCTGGGGACAGGTTGGTTAAAATCTCACTTTAGGGGAGGGACCAGCAGATGGCGTAATGGTTATGTTGCTACACTTCCACATTGGTGATTGTGGTTCGAGTCCCAGACCTGGTGGCTTAAAACTCACACGGGGTTGGGACCAGCAGTTAGCGTAATGGCTATGTCACTGGACTCCCATGTAGCTGACCGCGGTTTGAGTCCCAGACCCAGTGGCTTAAACTCATGCCAGGCGCATGTGCGTGCATGCCCAATATCCTGCGAGGAGAATGGAGGACAAAGATTGCAGTGTGACCAGCTCCCCTGGGGGGTGATTTCTTGCTTCTCTCCGTCTCTCGGGTGAGTACACATGCCCTATGGAAAAAATCTCTCTCAAAAAGAAAAACAAACAAACAAAAAAATCCTCATGTTAGGGAAATAGCTTTTGCACCCCGTGTGCTGGTCACTGGCCCTTCCAGGGAGACCTTGGTCTTGGCCTCTTCGACTGCTAGCGCTGGGAAGTCACGGGTCCCCGGAAATACAGGGACTGCTCTGAGGTTCTCATTTCAGCTCAGGTTTAGCTAATGAAATCCCTCATGGAGTTTTTGCACTGCCCCATTGTCCTCTTTCAAACTGGACATCTTTTCTTTCTTAAAAAGAATTTTAGTCCTTCCTCCTGCAGTTCCCACACAGACCAGAGTACTCGTCCCGTTCTCACAAACCCCACATTCGCTCAGGCTCTGCCTGTGGGCTACTGCAGGTCAGTCCTTGCTTTTTGTTTAATGCATGGTTTTATAGGAATTGGCTGTTACTTTTTTTTTTTTTTTTTTTTTTTGCGGGGGGTTTTTTTCATCTTTGCTTTTATGGGACCTAGGGCGCATGTGCTCGCCAGAAAGACAGAGAGAGACAGAGAGACAGAAAGCGAGAGATCACCCCCCAGGGGGGATGACCACACCGCAGTCCCTTCTCCTCCATTCTCCTCTCGGGATCCTGGGCACGCATGCACACGCACCTGGCATGAGTTTAAGCCAGCGGGTCTGCGACTTGAACCACGGTTGACTACGTGGGAGTCCAGTGACATAGCCATTACGCTAACTGCTGGTCCCTGGCTGTTATTTTTTGTAGGTCGATTCAGTTGGTAGCTTCCTGTGTGGTCGTCTAGGCCCTTAATTTCTTAGAAGGATTTCTCTACATTATCACGTCTTGAAGCGCTACTAGCTGTTTGTATTCGGTAAATAGTTATCGACTGTGTAGCAGGCACTGCGCTTGAATTTTCACGGAGGTTGATTATTTTAATTCTCATGGCAGCCCTGGGAGGGCCTCCTTGATGCACAGGAGGAAATTGAGGTCCCTTGAACTTGAATAATATACTTGTGGAGAGTCAATGGCAAGTGGGTTTAAACTCAGGCCTGACAGCCCCAGCCACCCCCTGCCTGTGCTGCTCGGACCACGGGGCCAATGTCTGATAGTGAGACTCACCCCTCAGTTCTCGTGGTAGACTGGGTGACTTGGCAGGAGACCCCTGGAGGCAGGACCTACAGGTGGGCGGCTCACGTCAGCTCTGCGCAACCCCTCCTCGGGCCCCAGCGTGTGGGCAGGCCTGTCCGAAGTCTCGGCCTCCTGACACCAGGGGCAGAGAGTGTCTGTCCACCAGCTCCGCATGCTTCCCAGCCATGTTTGTCGTCGGCAAAACCCTGAGTGTGACTTATGGCCCTGGGACCCTAGAGGGTTTAATGCGAGAGGGCAGAGCTCCAGCCCACTGACTAAAATCTGAGTTCAAGCATGGCTGAATCACACAGCTGATGTCCAAGAACTCTGCCCTATTCCCTCCTTAAAAAACAAACAACAACAACAAAAAACAGTTGATTTATTTCACTTTTTATTTTAAACTTGTTTTACTTTCGCTCTCCGTACATCATTGCAGCATACAGAATTTTTCCCATCCAGAATATACTGTATATTGGCGTGTAGATATTACCATACATGTTCATGAGTGAGGGCAAGAGCGTGAGCATGGCGGGCAGACCCCGGCCCGGTCTGGTCAGGCTGCGGTCCCCTCCCCACCCCTCTGCCCGTTGGCATCTCTGGCGAGCGCACTTGCTGATGGGTTTCGGGTGGGCTCAGGCTCCACGTTGTGGCCACGTGGCTTCCAGCATTTCAGGGCAATGTGCTAGTGGCCACTCTGCAGAGTTTTATTTATTTTCTACGTTTATTTAGCCTTTCTCTCCTAACCTGAGTCCTCTGGCTCTCGACCTGGGGGAGTGTGTTCTACTGCTCACCAGCTGGGGACCCTGGACAAATTTTGTTTTCTTGAGTCTGATTTTTCCTCTAAAAATGGAGACAGCACACCTGCCGCTCAGGGTTATTGTGAAGACAGGTGACAGGGCCAGCTGGAGACCTAGGCTGGATGAATAGCAGGTCCCCCTCAGGGAACAGAGCCTGCAGAGCACGCCCAGTGGTGCCAGCAGCTACGACTTCTGCTGGGATCCAAGTCTTCCTTCTGAAGATGCGCAGGCAGCCAGGCGAGAGGGCGTCCGTGCCATCGGTTCCCGCAGGTCCCTGCAGCTCCAGTCCCTGTCCTCGGGATGGTCAGGCCCGCTCTCTCCGCCCTGCCCATCGTATGTGGACAAGGTCTGCCTGGTCTCCCACTGTGGTTCTCCTGAGGGCCACGTGGGCTGGCCTGAGTGTCCTCAACTCACGACCCCTCCTCCAGCCCTCCCGACACCTCTCATCCAGCAGAGCAGGAGGTAGGGAGAGTGCAGGAGAGAATCAAAGCAGACTCAGGTTTTTGTTGTGATTTGACATCATGGGCAAGGTTTGTGGCAGCGTTTTACTGCTTAATGTCTGCTTCAGGAGGATCTGCCATCTGCCCGGTAATAATGGCGATCGTGCATTGTCACCGCCGTGCGGCTTGCGAGATTCCAGTGAGGGACATACGGGTGTTTGTCTTAGACCGCTGGGCTGGAGCAGCGCCCAGGCACTGCCCACAAGTACCCCATAGCAGTGTTGGGGCCAGGTGTGGGGGCAACTTCGGGGGCACCAGGCAGCTTGGGTGTGTCCCCTGGCAGAGTGGGGTCATGGAGCTGCGTCCTCGTAGTCCCCCAGCTCAGCAGTGTCTTCTGTCTGGCAAGGCCTCCGGTAGTCTGGGAACTGAGCACAGGGGTCCCTGCTTCCGGAGAGGGGACCAGGCACAGAGTCGGGCTGACAGCGCTGGGAAGCCCCGAGCCTCCGGAAACGTCACGGCGTGTGTCCTTTCTGCACAACCCGAAGAGCCGGTGCTTTAGGCCTGAAACGCAGAGTGCCCCGGACTCGCAGCTGCGTGGCCAAGTCAGCCAGCACTGTCTTCACAGTGGGGGGAAGTGGGGCTGCCGTGTGAGCACCGGGTTGTGGGGGGAGTATTCTGGGACTTCCCGGGAAGGCCTGGGGCCTACCTAGAGTCGTCCAGATAGAAGGTGAACTGGATGGCTTGTATTAGGAAAAAAGGTGCCAAGAGAACGGAACAGAATATTGTCCTCCCTTATGTAAGAATAGTGCAAAGCCCCAGCTAACCTGGGACCAGCAGGCAGAGACCCGTGAACCCTGGGCCCGGGGCTGCTCCCTCTGGGCGTGGGCTGGGAGGAAAGGCCCCCTCTCTGCTCTCTCCGGGGTGGCTGGCGCAGGGGTACCACTTTCGGCCACTCCTGCCCTGCCTGCGGTCCTGCGGTGGCCCAGGCGGAGGTCCCGGCACTTTATAAACCCGTGGCCATGGCGGTTACTTCTGCCTTCCCGAAGCTCCCTCCGAAGCAGGGAACCGTGCAGGGACACTTAGGAGCATTGTCACCAGCAAGGACAGAGGTGATCTGTCAGCTGACCAGTGAGTGAGCTTTCATCAGTACCTAAAGGCTGTCTCCCCAACTTTGTGGGAAACAAGTCGTTCTTCAAAGGTGAGTTTTCTGGGTAAGAAGACTTGCCCAATGAAGAGTACTTGATCTGGACCTGGGTCCTGGTGGTTAAGAGAGTCAGATCCCATATGACCGACCAAGGTTTGAATCCTGGCCCAGCAGTTTGAAAACATGCCAGGTGCATGTGCATGTATACCCGAATCCCAACAGGAGAGAGGAACAGAGAAAAGAGCGTGGCTGACCACGCCCCTGGGGGCTGCTTGCTTCCTCTGTCTGTCTGTCTGTCTCTCTGGCCAGCTCATGTGCCTGCCCCCTGGTAATGAGGAAAGAGCGCTTGCTGTGGGCTGGGGTTCCAGGCGTTGCTATTTCAGAGTTGAGGCGAGCTGGTCGGGAGTCTGGCCCCTTTGGGGCTGTTTTCGTTCTGTGGAGAGCAGGGATGACTGGCTTTGGAGCCCCAGAGGCCGACACCAAAGGCAAACTCCCAGCAAGCATGATGTCAGAACACGCCAGCTCCATTCCTGCCGCAGAGTCACCGTCTTCCTGGTGGTCCCACCGCAGTTCTGTGCAGACGTGGGGTTGGGGGGCTGTGGGCAGGGGCTGGGCTGGGCTGGGGAGTCCTCTGTTGGGACCAGAAAACCTGCTCAGATTCCCGGAGCTCTCTAGCCCCTGGTGGGATCTGCCCTTAATGGTAGGCCAGGACCCAAGCCGGTCATTTACCGAGAACCAAGCCTGGCTCAGAGCTCCCTGCAAGCATCTGTCGCCGCCCACTCCCTCTGACTCATCCCACACACTTGCTCAAATCACAGAGCGGGCAACGCACTTACCAGTTGGTGTCGGGGAAATTGGAAAGGAGGATGGGCCCTGGAGGGAGAGAAGGGGGGTGGCAGAGGGGAACCGTACCCCAGTCCTGGGCGCTGGATGGGGGCACTTTGCATGCCCTCTTGGGTCCTGGGAGCCCCCTGCTCTGGGTCCCCGAGCGTGTCCTAGGGTGCCCCTTGTGGCCCTGCTAGCCACCCCTGGAGGGCTTGCTGCTCCTGCTCTCCTAAGCCAGGGCACCAGCCCGACACCATCTGTCACCAGGCCTGTCACCCCTGAGGAGAGGCATGGCAGGGAGAGGCTTCAAGGCCTCTTTTCTTTCCCACTCCCCTCTCCTTTTCAAAGCCCTGCTTGGTCCTGAGATCTGCTCCCCTGCCCTCTCCCAGGGATGAGTCTGCAGTGGCAGCCAGAGCCCCGTGTGTCCCTCCCAATGTGGTCCCCAACCTGTGCCAGACTCTCCTCGCTAAGACAGGAATTCCCAGGGCCCACCCACCTGGCCAGGGGACCCCCAGGTTCTCCTGCATCTTATACACTAGCAGCCCCTGTGTGGGGGAGAAGCCGCCTCCCCATCCTCATGTATCTAAAGAGAAGATTCTGGGCCTTTCTGCCCGGGGCCCAGACAGGCACTGGGTCTAGCAGTTTCCCCCACAACCCCTCCCCTGTTTCATTCATAGAGAGAGAGAAGGAAATCATCCTACAGTTAGTTGCAAAGGAGAAATCCAAAGCGTCTTGTTTTGTTTTGTTTTTAAATAGTTTCAACCCCCCGGGTGCTGTGGTTAACCAGAGTGCTGGCCGGGCGGCAAGCTCTGCCTTATCTGGGACGCCGTCAGAGAACCAGAGCTCTAGCAAATGCTCCTGACCACGAAATGCCCCCACGTCAGCAGCTGCTGGCGCTGGTGGCCTGCTAGGGTCTGTTACCAGCATTTCGGCAAAGTCCAGAAAGCCAGTGAGTACGAGCGCCAGGAGGATGACCCCGGGACCCGCCGCTGTGCACCCCGTTTTTCCCCTGCTGGCATCTTAGTCTCGGCACCTCCTCCTCGGCTGGAGGGGAAGGGCTGGTTGACAGCAGTGGTGAGGGATCGCGGCTTCAGCCCCATCCCCACCCTGAGGGCCCTCTCTTAAGTCTGGCCTTGTTCATGCACTTTGTCCTTTCAACCCTCTACCCCACCCAGACTCCTCCCTCCCCTCTCCTTAGCTTTTCCGAGACTAGCTAGCGCAGTGACCCACTGGGACCGTCGCGCTGCATAGTTTGCTCAGTTCCACGAACATCTCTCCTGGTCATCTTTGAAATACACCGTGACCCCAGTGAGTGTCTAGGCTCGGTGTGAGCCCGTGCACGGGTTCCTCGCACTCTGGGCACTCACTAACGTGCGGCCACCGTGCTCTCAGGGGACTCCGGAGGGGTGGCACTGGCCGTCTCAGCCCCTGAGTGGGGGATGGACGACCACACCTCCCTGAGAGGTGTGACAAGCTGCCATGCTTCAGCACCAAGAGGCTAGTGAAAGCCAAACTCTGCTAGAGAAGGAAGTACAGGGCCAGCCTGCGGCCTGGTCAGAGGCGCAAGACCTCCCGTGGCCAGCCATGCAGCCGAGCCCAAGCCCGCTGGCTTGAAAGCATGGGTGTGTGTGTGTGTGTGTGTGTGTGTGTGTGTGTGTGTGTGTGTGTGTGTGTGTGTGTGTGTGTGTGTGTGTGTGTGTGTGTGTGTGTGTGTGTGTGCCCAGAGCGCCACAGGGAAAGAAGAGACCGTGGCGTGACCATGCCTACCCGTGGGCTTTCTCCCTCCACCCCCGTCCCTCTGGCAAGCACATATACCCTCTGACAAATTAAGAAAAAAGGAGAAAGTTTAACTGTCACCCACAGCACAGCTGCTCCCCCGAATTTCCACTCCCACTGCATGAGCAAGCACACTTCCCGTTCCAGGCTGAGGACGCAGACACTGCCTGCATTCTACAGACTGCCTGGCCGCCCACCCCAGGGGTGTCGCAGTGGCTGGCCCGCCTTATTGCCCAGCTTCATCGAGGTACAATTTACGTAGAATGAAACCCACCCGCTTAAGTGTGCACTTAGACAGCGGCGATAAATGTACACAGGCAGGTCTGAACCATGGCCACCACCTGACAAAGAACCATCACCGCAAAGGTCTCCGTCCCTTCGCAGCCCACCCCTCCCACCTCCATCTTAAGACCCCAGGGGGGGTCTACATCTTCTCTGCCCCCCAGATTGGCACAGCTCCCGGAGCAGCAGGGACACTTAACCGAATGTTTAAATGCCTGATCGGTAGCCCTGCTGTGGTTCGAATCCTCTCAAGGCGTCTTCTTTTTCTTCCCAGACATCTGAAATCTTGAGATTGTCTAAGAGGCATTTGCAAATTAGTGATTTCTGCATTCGGTTCGTTCCTGAGACCAGCCTTCCTGACTGGTCTGAGGCAGTCAGGGACCAGCCTTGAGAAGGCTCAGCCTCCTGAAGTGGCGGCGTGCCGTCCTGCTCACCTGCAAGGTCACAGCCACCGGACAGTGTCCTCTTCACTCCGTAGACGGCTAGAAAACAAGTGCGTTCACACTACTGTTGTCACTCTCACCCAAGGCCCGAAGTCTCCCACCAGCGTCGGCCTCCCCAGGACAGAAGGTGCCTAACAGTGTCACTGTCCTCCTCTTTTAGGAAGCCAGCCCCTGGGCGATTCAGGAGCTCACCTGGAGAGCACCCCAAAGGACTGCCCATGTCCCTGCCTTTATCACCAAGGGTGACAATCCCTTCTGCCTCCCCGGGCTGCTGTTCACATGTTGGGCTAGGTTGCAGTAGGTGAGAGGGTGGCCATCTGGCCTTCTCCCCACCCTCAGCTCTGAGAAAGACCTCCACCCTCTGGGGGTGCCCCTAAAATCAGACGACTGTTTGCAAGTAGTAACTCCCGTTTTCCCAGTGGCTTCCACAAATCATTGCGTCTGCTCATATGGCAACGTGTGTGCCAGTTATGTGTCTCTGTACTTCTATAGGCTAAGTCATTTGCTTTTTTTTTTTTTTTTTAAAGTTTTTTTTTTTTTTTTTTTTTTTTAATGGTTGGGATTGTGGTATGC